CCCCCCACACGCCGGCTCCGACGGGAATGGAAACTGGCGGTCTTCCCGGAGCCCGCGTTCGCTGGGAGCCCGCTGCCTTGCGGCGGTGCCTTGGAGGAGCTCAGCACCACGCCGGTCACCGCATTCGCTCACCCCGCGCTCCAGCGAACTGGGGCTGTCCTCGCCTTCACCGTTTTAAAAGAATGGGGAGGGGCAGGAATAAAACGAACAGAGTTTCCATACTTCACTGCCTGCTGGGAGAGGGTCAGAGCAGGATCCTCCTCATGTCCTACGCAGTAGATCTGGCAGCCAAATGTATTTCAGGCATTGTAACAAACTACCAGAACGCAGAAAAGCGGATAAGGACATGACAAGCATTTTCATGCATCAGTTCAGACTCCAAAAACCTATGACATAAGGGGGAAAAAAAAACCCAAGCCAACTCTTGCACAGGCCAGTGACCTCACAGAAACCCAGTTTTCCTTGTAGGCAACATCGGTAAGGCTCTACACTTTGTTGCTTTGCATTTTATGTGGTTGGAGGGTTGCTTTGTTTGTTTTTTCTTTTTTCCTAATTATTATTATTACTACCCTGAGGAAGGTCATGTCACAGCACGCTGCCAACCAGGAAAGCAAACAAGCAAATCCAACAGAAGCAGAGGGTACCTCCGTGGCATTTGGCAGCAGAGAAATGCAGTCCTTTACAAACAGTAATGAATTAACTTTTACAGGGCAGCCAAGGAAGCTGAGGAGGGGACTATGTCACAAAGGCAGCAAATATTGCTAATTTCTTTTTCCTCTCCAAAGGTAAGTCAGCAACAGTTTTGCCTGAATTCTAGCTGGGATTTTGATATTGGACATCTTGCCATGGTCTGTAGCTCGGAGACCATTCTGGCTTTGTATCTGCGACATAGCTACACCAATACTGAAACTGGCTTTGTTTTTTTTTAGAGGATTTCCAGGAAAACAAGCCAGTGTTATACTGAAGCAAAGAATAAGCAGAGAACCCTGTTTAAATAATCAAAATACTGGCTTTGGGCCCTGCTGGTTTATAGAAAAATGGTTTTGAGTTTCCTGAAGTGGTGGGAAAGCATTATCGAAGAAGAGAATTAGGAAAGGAAAAAAAAAAAAAAAGACTGAAGCCAAACCCCTATGTTCAGAGTCACCATTGGGCACATGAGGGTCAAACCCAGCAGGCTGCAGCAGCCATCATTCACGTGGTTGCAGCAGTTTCACACTTTCCTGCTCAGCTAGAAACATAGCCCATCAGTACTGTACCAACCATCACCTTGACACTGCTAATCATCGAAGGCAGAGGAGTGCCTCCTGCTTTTGCAACAGATACAGATATAAACACACACTCAGGAGGAGCTGCTTGCTCCCAGAGCACCCACTTCCTACCTTGCTATGGATGCAGACCCTGTAGCAGAGTTCAGGGTGAGCCGCACACCTACAATCCACAGAGGCACTCGGAGAGGCCTGATGACTGCTGCGCTAATTGAGGGCTGAGGGCAGACGAAGCCTAGGGTTATTTAATCAAACAGTTCCCAACACAGACTCCTCTCCTCCAAACAACTTTTTTTTTTTGTACATTCTCCAAAACAGACACAGCATCAAAACAAGTCAAGGTCTCTGGGCACACGAAATATATGCCACAATATATGCTGGGAAGCTGTGGCACCTCAGAATGAAGCTGAGCAAGGACTGCACGAAGCAACCTTCCATGCAGAGCCGGCTTTGCCTCACTGGCTGTCTCCAGCCTACAACTGCGTCAAGCTTGTCTACTGCAGGAGATGCTGAGGTCTCCTGGAGTGGTGAGCCTCTCATCCACAGCACTTCTTCCTTTCTAGCAGCGCTGTCAGCTCACACCTAACAGGCTTGGTAAACTTCTGCACCTTCCCAGATGCAGCCTACAATCACATCTCCCTTCCAGCAAACCCCTTCCTTCAACACACTCTTGCTAGGCGCAGAGCTGGGGCTTGATCTCCTGGTCCTTCACCACACTTGACTGCTCTTCCAACGCAAAGTCACCAGGACCGAAGTCTTGGAAATAAAACTGCAAACAGACAAGTGAAATTAAAATGATTCCCACACCAACATCCCTACTGAAAGCGGTTACAGAAGGTATCT